CAAAAAAAAAAAAAAAAGGAAAAGTTATGTAGGTATAACTTCTTCTAGAGTAATTGTAAATGTGGTTTGATAACAAAATACGCTTGAATAAGCTCTTTCTGAGCTTTTGGGAAGTACTGAGAAATTTTCAGGTAGTCAAGTTCAGGGAAGGTGTAGGTGGGGAGTTCCAAACCAGTTGATTTGCTGTCCTTTCAGATATGTCTGGTAGGGAATATTCATAAGGACGGTTACTTAGGGTACTACCAAATTTTGGTAAATATCTCTTCATGGGTGTGGTTTATTATGGGGGAAAATAACTTCACAAAGAATAAACTGTTCTCACTGGTGGGTCTTAATCTTAGATTATCAAAGAGAAACGGTCAGTGGTTACAGCCATGGGGAGATTAATGAAGGTGAGATTGAAAGGCAAATTGATCTGTCTGGTGCTTCATAGTAAGGCTAGGACATTTACATGTCACTGAAGTTTAGCTCCTAGGCCTACACAATGGAGCCTTAGTTAACATAAGGCCATCTGTCCAGGTTCACTGGGAGGTTAATTTATTATTAAGTTTAATTTTCTCTCAACTGTCTGCCCATGACGACTTTCCAGATCTCAAGGAGCTTGAATTCAAAGCCTTTATATTCTGAAGCCTGTTATATATAGAGAAATAAATGGCTTATGGCTCTTTTGCACTCTCTTTCTCTCTCTCTTTTGCGCGCATGTGTGTTGCCTTGTGTTGCTGTGCACACGCGCACTTTTTTCCCAAGTAAAAAAAAAGAAGTTGGCAGCTGAATAGGGAGACCCTTTCATCCTTGCTGTCTCTCTCCTTGAACACATTATGCATCGATGCCACCTTTAGGCTTCATTCCCAATCAATGACTAGTGATGCACTTTCCATGTAGGACATCATATTGGGAGAGAACCGCAAAGAGGCGGAAGGACACAGGTCCCATCCCTGTTGAAAGGCAAATGTGATCTGTCTGGTGCTTCATAGTAAGGCTGAGGACATTTACATGTCACTGAAGTTTAGCTCTAGGCCTACACAATGGAGCCTTAGGTAAACATAAGTGGCCATCTGTCCAGGTTCACTGGGAGGTTAATTTATTATTAAGTTTAATTTTCTCTCAACTTGTCTGCCCCATGACTGACTTTCCAGATCTCAAGGAGCTTGAATTCAGAAGCCTTTTTATTCTGGAAGCCCTATATAGAAATAAATGGGCTTATGGGCTTTTTGGACTCTCTTTCTCTCTCTCGTTTTGCGCGCATGTGTGTGTGCCTGTGTGTGCCTGTGCACACGCGCACTTTTTTCCCAAGTAAAAAAAAAGGAAGTTGGGCAGCTGAAGTAGGGAGAACCTTTCATCCTTGTCTCTCTCCTGAACACATTATGCATCGATGCCACCTTAGGCTTCATCCCAATCAATGTGATAGTGATGCCTTTCCTGTAGGTAACTTGCTTTAGAGTAATTGTAAAATGTGGTTTTGATAACAAAATACTGCTTGAATAATCTCTTTCTGAGCTTTTGGGAAGTATGAGATATTTTCAGGTAGTCAAGTTCAGGGAAGGTTAGGGTGGGGGAGTTACCAAACCAGTTGATTTGCTGTCCTTTCAGATATGTCTGTAGGGAATATTTCATAAGGAACGGTTACTTAGGGTACTACCAAATTTTGGTAAATATCTCTTCATGGTGTGGTTTATTATGGGGAAAATAACTTCACAAAGAATAAACTGTTTCCTACTGGGTTCTTAATCTTAGATTATCAAAGAGAAAAGGTCAGTGGTTA